TTAGTTTTTCAAGATTCTTTCCCATTGTTCTAGATAAGTCATTTTCTCTACACTTGATTTCAGTAGATTTGTGGCAATTTGCCTTTTCAGTCTTCTGAAAACACGGATACTACACTTCTGTATACCTAAGTCCCCATCCACGCAATAATAAATTATATGATTACAATAGCAAGTATGAGTAATAGAAACACACAGGGACCAGTGGTGGGCTCTTGGCAGACACACAGTGGTGGGCATTCAGCAGAGAGCTGTACTAGGCAGCTGTATCTTGTTGACTGTATGTGAAAAGCAAGCTGTTAGTTGAGAGTTTTTCTGAATATGTTAGTAATGTTTTTCTAGTAAATATTTGAAAATGCCTTCTGCAATATGTTCCAACCCAGGTGTGGTCTGGTGTGCCTGCAGAAATGCCAGGCACCAAAAAACACCAGTTTGACTTGCTGGCCGAGCTGGAACATGATGTCAGTGTGAGTATCAACAACAAAACCTTTGAAAACCTAAGTTTAAGTCTGGGGTTACAAGCTGGAGATACGTGGTTTTATGTATTTACCATCTTTTAAAAATTTTTTGCTTACTGGAAGATATCAAGTATTCTGTTTTGTTGACTGCAGTTCCAAATCTTTAGTTGGCCACTTTGCTGTTTCTCTGAGAGTTAGCTACTGTCCAGCTAGATTTGCAAAATACCAGTTTCTTAGCATGAGATTGAGTATCTTAGATTAGGGTATCTTGAAACTATTTGGGACAAACAAGTGGGACCCATCATCTGTCCTGCATTCTGACAGAGAAGGTAGGACTGCCTGTATAGGATGACCCCCAGCCAATAGCTGAGGCCCCAACAGCTGATCTGCCACCCGGGAACCAGAATCAAGACTGGCACTTTCCTTCTACTTGTTCTGTCACATGGGGTCACATGGTTGCATTTTCTGCTCTTTTCAGTACTGCCTTTCTCTAAGGTCATGAATTGCTAATTTGCATGTTTGACAGACTGAGATTGAGAGATATTATTTAGAGTGTAATTTAAGATGGGTCTGCACAACCATCTGGAGATTCCCCACATCCTCACAACCCCTCAAATCCGCACCTAGCTACAAATTATTATTCATGAAATTACCTTTTTGAGACTTAATTTTAGGCTATTTAAAGTGTTATATTTACAGTAGCAATATTTCATTTTACCACCACCATCAAGAATTTTATTTTTAAACACTCCTTTCATACATTTTGTTGAAATGCATGTGCATTAGCTGTACCACTATGTCCATGTATTGGAATTGGCCTAGGACAACATAGCAAATGAACATATTTCTAAACAGAGTACTTACCAATGTGTTTTCTTTCTTAGGTAGATACAATCAGCCTAAATGCTGCAAGTACACTGTTGGTTTCAGGCACCAAAGAAGGCACAGTCAATATTTGGGACCTCACTACAGCAACCGTATTGCACCAGATCACATGCCATTCAGGCACTGTGTATGACACTGCTTTTAGCCCAGGTAGTTTTTAGTAGAGATGATACCATGGGGAATTATAATTACTTTGATAATGAAAACAACAAAAATGCAAAAAGAAAAAAACACTTTTTGCTGATAAAAGCTTTTGCAAAATTTGTGCCTATTAAACAAGATGTTAGCTTTATTAATTTGTCGAGTTACTAAATAGATCTTAAGGTATGTATGAACTCATTCAAATATCTAAAGAGAGAACATTCACTGAGTACAGATAGCTCGAGGAAAATGCAGTGCAATTTAGGCCACTGAATTTAAAAATTACAGCCATCTAAAATACACATCTCTGCCGTAACCTGTGGTGTGTCTGCTTCACCTCACGTTACAGATAGTCGTCATGTCCTCAGCACAGGAGAAGATGGCTGTCTGAATGTCATAGATGTGCAGACAGGAATGCTCATTTCTTCGTTGACTTCAGATGAACCCCAGAGGTACATTTTCTTATTACTAGTGGTGAAGATATTTATGATAAGCTCATGACCAGATCATGTCATCTGTGTTTGCACTGACATGTGATAGAGCTCTTTCTGCAGATGATTTTTTTTTTCTAAAACATTTTTTCAGATGCTTTGTCTGGGATGGAAATTCTGTTTTGTCTGGAAGTCAGTCTGGTGAACTGTTTGTTTGGGATCTTCTTGGAGGAAAAATCAGTGAGAGAATACAGGGCCACACAGGTGAGTTCTTTCATCCTAAAGCACTAAATTCAAACCTTTCTCTCCTGGCAGGGAGTAACTCCTTTGAGACAGAAAAATCCCAGAGTTACCGATGCTGGAACATCCCTTCAGCATTGGGTAGCCAGGTAAACCTGTATCTCTTGGGTACTTTAGGACAGATTTATGTTGCCAAGACTTACCCAAGGAATTTTCTACATAAATTTCCATATGGGGAATTTAAAAACATTGTAGAAGCTGTTCAGTTTTTTAAAAAATAACGTACACATTTTAGAAAAACACAATACAAATTAATGAATTACATTGGAAACTAAACCCCTCCCCGCAACCCCTACCCCCTATACATACCAATTCCTACCTCCCAGTTTTTGGACAACTTTCTCTAGTTTGTTCTCTGGCAGTATGTTCTCTGACTAATGAAAGGATGTGTTTGTAGTATAAATTCTCCGTATTTTTGTCCCTTAGTAGTATCTCTCAAGAGTCTTTATATGCTGAACATTTGCCTATTTTCTTCCTATCTGGAGGATTTATAATTTTTAATTATTCTTCCATCAGTTATAGTTACTTCAGTATGACCAGTAACTTCCCACCTCTCTTCCCTGTCACTCCATTTTAGATTTTTACATTAAAACTAATATGCCCATGCTTTTCCCTTCAGCTTGCAAATTTCAGATAACATTTGACCCTCCTTCCAACAAAATTGAAAATAGGAGGCCCTTCCTGGTGGCACAACAGATTAAAGCACAGCACTATAATGCTATCTGCAGTTACTGCAGCACGAGTTCGATCCCCAGCCAGGGTGACGACCCACATTGCAAGGCAGACTTCTGTCTCACTCTTCCTCCCCTCAGCCATGTACTTCTGTTTGCCTGTTTTGTTTTCAGTATTTATTTATACATGCAAGAACTAGGGTATAGCTCAGAAATGTGGGGGTGGGGGGCGGTGAAAGGATTCACCAGAGATAGAGTGGGGAACAAAATTGGCAGATCCACTGAAATACACTGCAAAGGGGAGCAGCAGGTAAGACAGGAGAGGTCTGCTGTGCCATGTGGATCATCTCCCTGGCCAGGGATTGAATTCACACTGCAGTGGCTGCAAACATCTCCACACTACTCCACTTAACCTGTTGTGCCATCAAGGGAGGCCCCTAAACTGCCTGTTCTGTTCCCTACTGTCTCTGGTGAATCCCCTCACCACCCCACACCCCCACCTCTGGCCTGTAACCCAATTCTTGTAAGCATAAATAAATCTTTTTAAAAAATATAAGTAGGAAAACTCACACTAATTCCTCACTTCTCCCTTGTTTCAGGTATGTTTAACTATTAGCCTTTTGCTCTGTACCCATAATGCCCAGTCATTTTAGCATGAGCTTCATATTAAGGTTCCTTGTAAAACATCTTAAGTTTTATTTATTTAAACAATGAGACAATACAACATAGTACTTACCAGTGTGTTGGGGGGAAGGGGGGACTTCTTGTCAACTTACTACCTAACCAGTGTCTTTTCCACAGGTGCCGTGACATGTATATGGATGAATGAACAGTGTAGCAGTATCATCACAGGAGGGGAAGATCGGCAAATCATGTTCTGGAAATTGCAGTATTAAGTGCCTTTTCCTCTCAAATATTAAATTGAACCCTATTTAATGTATTTTTAAGCCAAACTTTTAAATGAACTGATAAATGTGCAATGATAGTAATTAGTTGTTTTAGCACGTAAGACATTTGTGGTTTGAAATTGTCTAAACCACGATAACTTCATTCAAAGCCATTAGTTGCCATCCTCTAAGAGATAAAGATATGGCAGTATTAGGGAGAAAACATCACCTCTGTAAGGCAGACAATCATCCCAGTACAAGGATGATTGGAAGATAAGTTTGGGTAATTAAGCGATACTAAGTGGCTGGAAAAACTTTCAGAAAGCACTGAAAATTTTAGAATTTTCCAAGAAAATGTGCAGTATTCTCTACTGATTCGGAGTCACTCTATTTGTTTTCCTAATCTACACAATTGCTGCCCATTAGGTTTTTGGGTATGTGTTTTCATGGAGTGGTTACTTTCTAAAACCTGCTGTCCCTAGATTCTAAGAATCTGGGGAAGGACTAGCTGTTCTTGTAACAGTAAGTTTGCTGTCTATAGGAACAGTTTGTTTCATTATAGTTATTAAATGCTCATCTTTTCTACGACATTAAAAGTATTTTTCTGTAATGAAAGTAGTTTTCATTTTCTTAAACAACTAGTAGTTTTTAAGTAAGTCAAGTATTGATCCTTCTAGGAAAGTATAGTGATGTAAATACTGTTGTAATACTTCTAAAACTCTCTTCAGATGCAAGTTCAATTCCAAGGTAGATAAACAGAAACGCTGTCTTGTTTGTGGTTCTAAATGTTAAAAAAAGGTAATCCATAAAGACAGACCACTGATAGACATTTTTATAGTCAGCTTCTGAACCACAGTGATTATGTGATTGTTTCTATTGTCAAAAACATTCCCCTATCTTGTAGGCAGTATGGCATGGGGAGGGGGGGCCCTTAATAGTACCAGGACAACAGCATTTTCAAAGTCAGTTGTAAGTGTCAGTAAAGATTATTAGCTCTCGGGTGTTGCCAGGGAGCATGAACAGCTGCACTGCATTACTGTTGTCCAGCAGGGCAAGGCTGGGGCTCACAGCTGGCAGCGCTTTTCCCAACATACTCAGCACAGAGGGCATTTCTCAGGGCCCCTGGATGTCTGCTGCTGTGGGAAGTGAATTTCATAACTGTTTTCTAGGTCAGACATGAGTCTGGTGAAAGCTATGGACAGTCTCCAAATGATGCAATAACAGACAAACTAAAACTTAACTTATACATGTTTAATTAAAATAGAATAGGCAAAAATCAGGATAAAGTGTCATTGTCATTTTGTTTGCAGGAAGGGGAGTCAGGAGATAGGGACAAACATTGTAAGGTTCAGAGTAATTAGGTTACATATGTTAAGAATATAATGCCAAGATTAGGTATTATCCCTTAAATCTACAAATGAAAAAGGGATTCAAAAGTTATCCTACTTAGTATAAGGATTTTTACATTAAATATGCAGTCATTTATTTCTCAGATAGTGATACCAGTAACTTGTAGAAGAAATTAAGTTTCCATTACACAATGACTAGAAAATCTCAAATGCAACTAAGCAGCTATGCTATAGCTCAGTATATAATACTATTACACTGTTATGGGCTAGTGTACATTTCAGTTTAATCTAGAAGTATAGTGTTTCAGAAAGGCAGCAAGAGTTATATTTTGGCTTTAATTCTAGATGCTTAACAAAGTTAAGGCGACAGTTGAAGCATATTAAGTGAAGGTAGTTGAAATTTAATGATAATTCGCACAATCTCTTGCAACACACACTCTGTATTTTATGTGGAATGAAACCAGTGGTACATATCGTTGTTTATGTACGCACACTATGCACACACACCCAACTAAAAATCAGAGAAAACAACTACTGTAGTTGTGCTGTGAGAGCTCAGTTAAAATGCAATGCACCATAAAACTACTATGAACAGCAGTGCTGGCTATCTAAGAAGAAAGGTGATCAGTTCTAACATAAAGCTAAGCCTGGATCAGTCATCCTAATCAAAATGGCTTATAGAAGCATCAGGTTTCCAGTAGAGAAACTATTCTATGAAAGTCAGTAAATATTTTCAAAGTTTCACATCTGTAAAACCCAGATAAGGCTACAACTATCTTGGAGTCTGAACGAGATATGAGATCAATCAGTAAGGTTCCCAGCCATAATGTAAGATAGGAAGGTCCCCATGCAGCATATGCTCTCTGGCTCCTAGAAAGCTTCATGTGCATAATAAAGAAGTTGTCAAAGAAGTAAACTGGAGTGGGTCAGCGAAGGTTCCACTGTGCCATGACTTAAACTTCAGGAATGGAGTGATCCATCAGGCTTTTCATAATGCTTGGTGCCATCCTACAAGAGAGACATTTTTATCAAATGCTGAACTTTTGCTAAATTAAATGATTTTTTTTTGCCAAAAATACTATATGGATACAAGAAAATCCCAATTCAAGCTTGGGACCTATTAGAATCAAGTGGGGTGATGGAGAGAATCTTTTTAGTGAGCTTAGACTTAAGGGTATCTACTAATACCTAGTGTAAAAGGCTGTCTTGACTAGAAAAATCAAGATACAAAGCCTTGCAGTTCATGTTGATGATTAAAAAAAAGAAAAGAAAATGCTATGATGAACTTGGGGGGGTGGGGTGGGGGAGGGGAGCTACCAATGGTTTAAGAAAACTCCACCAGAGAATTCTCCAACTAGTTTAGTCCTGACAGTATTTCATTCCCTTGCCCAGCTTCACCCCCAAGAGTAGCTAGCTGTAAATTCTACCCAAAAGGTGAAACAAAAATTTCACTACAGGTGTTTTTTGTTTTTGAATCTCTTTAACCTTATTTTCACGTTAGTTAGATTCTGAAAGAGGGATTCCAAATTGTCTAGGCAAAAACACCCAAGATAGAAGTCTGTATTTTAAAAGCAACAACTCTTGCTGCCCCTTTCCATTATCCCTGCTCAGTTTTCTAATTCACAATTTCTGAGCTAGCAATTACCTGCACATCCTCCCTATCTCCATCCTGAGATGCTTCAGAGAACAGACTCTTAACTGCTAACAACCCACAGGCCAAAATCATGAATCAAGTTTCTGAGTGAAGGCATGACAGGAAGTGTACAACCACAGATAACTTTACTGATAGCTGGAATGAAAGCCTATCCACCTCTACTTATGCCCCCATTTCATACTAGGAAGTGTCAACATTTACAGGAAGTACACAGTGAAATTTCTATTTGTAAAGTTGTGAGGGGTTAACCTTACATAGCAGTTGCTTTAAATAATTTACTTCAGATTTCTATAAACAGCAATGTAATTCTTTAGGTGAAAGAACCAAAGATTTGGTGCTGGAAACATGGAGAGCCACATAGAAAACAATAAAGCAAGAACCATATTTAACTACAAAAGCAAGAATTCATTCAAAATGGATTAAAGATTTGGACTAAGAACTAAAACTATAAAAAGTTGCAAGAAAATACAGGGAACACATTATAGGACATCTACCACAAGACTTGTTGGGCAATACAATCCCAGCAGCAAGGGAAATGAAAGCTAAAGTAAACAAGTGGGAGTATAATGAATTGGTTCCAAAGAAACCACCACTAAAACAAAAAGGCAACTCACAGAATGGGAAAAAGTATTTGCATACCAGACAGCTAACAAGGGGTTGATCTCCAAAATTTATAAAGTACTTACACAAATCAACAACAGAGAAACAATCCAACTAAAAAATGGGGAAAGGACCCCAACAGACACCTCTCTTTAAACATGGCCTACTTGATGTCTGAAAAAAATACTCAACACCATTTACTATAAAAGAAATAAATGCAAATTAAAGCTACAAGACACCACTTCACCCTTGTGAGAGTGGTCCATGTAAGAAAGGATGGAATTAACAAATGTTGGTAAGGTTGTAATGAGAATGGAATTTTCATGCACTGTTGGTGGGAATGCAAGCTGGTACAGTCCCTGTGGAAAATGGTGTGGGGATGTCTCAAGAAAATAAAAATGGAAAACCAGCAATACTGCTGTTAGGTATTTATCTAAATAACAAAAAAATCTAGTATGAAATAAATCTCTCTATACCTATGTCCACACAGCACTATTTAGAACTGTCAAACCATGTAACTAGCTCAAATGCCCTTAACCAAAACGAGCTTATCTTCAATGAAAAGATTTTGGATGGTTTCACTCATCTCCAGAATATAAACATGGAAAACAAATTACATGCAAATAATCCAAGGAATAAAAATCTGATCTCAGCAAAAGGAAGATAATGGTTATCAGAGGGAACAGGAGCAAAGGATGAAGGATGGGGAGGTGGGGGGGGGGGGAAGAAAGGGGTATGGGAGCATGGGTGGTTTGGTGGAGTCTTAAAAAAATTTTTTTTAAAATAAAGTGCAGGTGTTAATCATAAAGGAAATGAAGCTCTACCTACTGACATATCTAGTCTTTTGGGGAAAAAGAAATGATTTGGGAATGAAAAAGGCATAGTGCTTTTATTAAGACACATGACCACAAACATCAAATTGAAGATTTGTTAACTTACCGTTTAATGATATGTTCAAAGATAAAAGCAGGCATGATTGTAATGGTAATTACAGTACCAGATGTTGACAGTATGTCTGCAATTTGCGAGTCCTGTTGAAAAACAACAAAAAGTAATTTTACTGAGTCTTTGATAAATATAAAACTATGTTACTCTAGATGAAAAATATATGCAGTATACACTCTTATGTATGTATTACCTCTAACATCATGATCCTTGCTATTTATCATTTTTCCTTACCAAATTTAATTCTATAAAAATCACAATACTTAGCTTGATATCAAAGCTGCTTAAGTGAACTGAGTTGAATGTTAGCAAAATCCTTTCATTACTTAACAAATTTCCTCATGTATAATATTACCATATTCCTTCATTACTATGTATTTTTTTAAGATTTATTTTTACTTACTTATGCATACAGGAACTGGGGAGTAGGCCAGAGAGGAGTGGGGGTGAGAGGATTCACCAGAGTCAGAGTGGGGAGCACAACAGGTGGGTCCACTGAAATACACTGCTGAAGGGAGCAGGGGGTGTGACAGGAGAGGTCTGCTGTGCCATGTGGGTCATGTCCCTGACCGGGGAGCAAACTCAGGCTGAAGTAGCTGGCAGTAGCTTGATAGCACTGAGACTTTAACCCCTATACTAGGTTCAACTATGTATTCTAAAGTAAAGATTATGAGACGAACAGATCTTAATGAAAACAACACCACTTTAAAATAGCCTGATTTAGTAATTTATGGAAGTTAAAATTTTTAAAAAGCTATTAAAATGATGTACTAGTAAGGGCATAAGCTATTATTCATTCCCTACAATTACTGGACTTAAAGTTGGGCAATCATTCATTTTGACCGTCATCCAAATACTCGAATTTTAGCTCCAAGGACTTCAGCGATCATAGAGTTCAGCCCCCGTATTATAAGAATAGACAATCGCCCACACAATGCCTGTGACTGGCCTGAGACACAGCTTATGCACAGCATAGCCAAAGCCCCAGACCCAGCACTATTCATCCCACTGGGTTTCTGTATTTGGGGATCAAATGAAAACAGCCACCTGAACAGACATGAAAAGGACAGTTGGTAAAATAAAACTAGCAGCACAGGTCTGTTCCTTACCTTCAATCCAATAACATTCTGTCCATTGATTTCACAGATGTTGTGCTCTGTGAGAAGGCCATTCCTGGCTGCAGAACTATCTTTCACTATGGATGTTATTTTCCCGTTCTTAAAGATAAAGCCAACATGTCCAGTACTATCCTTATGCATGGTAATTGTGCGTTCAAAGGGCCTATAAACAGATTCAATTAGTAATTTAAATTCAAGATAAACATTTTAATGGATTTTTATTCAGTCATTCTCTAAATGTTACTAAGAACAACTTAGTGTGGCTCTGATATCGTATATTCACGAACATCTTGACATCAATTTTTTTTAATCAAGGACTTCCTTCTTTATCAAAAACAATGTTTCATGTAGTTTACAGCATGCTTTCCCTATGAAATTGACTGTAATTTAATATTAAGAATGAGGTAGGCTTCGAACAAAAATCAGTGTCAAAAATGAAACTATCTTTTATTAACCTTTCATATTTCGTGGAGATGAATTATTCTCAGGACATATTTCCTTTATTAAAAACATTTATGATAATTCCTACATCTTGTTCTGAAAATTTTATAGATGTTTTTGCTGTATTTTAAAAGAACTGTAGAAAAAGAAAAACCAAATTTTTGGAGGGCCTTTCTGATAGGAAGGCATGCAGCTACCACAGAAGGAAGCAGACTTGTCTACTTTCAAAAGTTGGCATGCCAGGCACACTGCTCACCTCTCTATAACACTGCCATCATGTCCTCCATGGGCTTTCTGATAAATCTAAGTTTACATTATAAATTATAATTATAAAAGTCAGAACAGTCATATCTTCTCATTGGCACAAGTCTCACTTTGGAGAGACTTGTAGTAGTAGTTACCTACAAAATATTAAATACTTATCACTGTGGAAAACTGGAAATACTAAAGTTTAAACAAGAATAAAAACCCAAAAGCTAATTGCAATAAAATTCTACCCTAAGTGCTGGGGCAAGAAAACAGAGGGACTTCATGTGCTCAGTTTCCTATTAAATGAACTGCTAAATAAAATGTCCCATTCTTCCACCTGTCAACTAGAGCTTTATAGGTACCCCAAGGCCAGACTGGTTTTCAGAACTTGCAAATGCCAAGTTTTGGAGAGCACCATGACCGTGTGTGATCACCCTCCACTGGAGGGCTGAGCATTAACTTGGAAAGGGAGGCCACAGCTGCTAGGCTGCTTACTATTCAAGATACATTTCACATTTTCTAGACAAATGAAGGCAGGCAATTATTTTCTTAAAGGATTAATCCTAGAAACTGTATTTATGCAAACCACAGTGTTAATAAAAAAAAAATGTAAAAACTACTAAGAAAGTCTGCACCTCAGTAGCTGCAGGGCAAATCAACAACATCCATCATTTTATGCAACAAAATACTACATTAAAAAACTTAAAAGTCCAAGAAACTGGAAAATTCCTCTGAATTTCCCTTTCAACTGATCAGGAACAGCTTACCTGTCACGGATAGTCATAGTAATTTTCTCTCCAAAAGCCTGTTTGAGCACCTTGTGTGCTTTGTCAGAGCTCCAGCCTGCACAGTTTTCCCCATTGACCTGGAGCACTTGATCCCCAAATCTTAGACCGACCAGGGAGGCCGGAGAATTTGCTTGCACTAGCTGAACAAACACACCCTGAAGGATAAGAAAACAACTGGTCATTTACCACAGTATGACAGGTTTTTAAATGCTGGAAAATTAAAAACTAATTGGTTAGGTTAGAAAACTACCCTATTAAAAAAGAAAAAAAATTGAGTCTCTACTGTTAACCCCCAAAAAAGAAGCAAACAGTTTTATAAAGGTGATAACCTGAATATGTTAGGTACAAAATGACATCTATTGGTAATTTCTACCTCATGTCATGACCAACCAAACCATATACTTCACCTTGGATTAAAAAGACAGGAAAATCAAGTGGATTACTGTACCAGAAATCCACTGTGCATAGGATACAATGTTTATTAACACATGATCATTAAGTGAGAGAAAAGAGTCAGGTGTTAGAAGTTTTGTGATCTATTTTATAATTTATTAAATGATAGTACTTTAAGGTCCTAGGTCTGTCTTTAAAGCTAAATGACTACTTTTATCCATTTTCCAAATTATGAATAATCAAGTAAGACTAGGTTTATTTAGCAGCCAATAAAAGTGAATACATTCAATACCACTTCTCAAGAATCCAGTGAAAGAAAGAACACTCAAGTATGGTTTAATTAGGAACCCGCAAGCACATTTCTACTTGTATAAACTCTGAAACCAGATGTTGAACAAAATGCAAGTATAAAAGGAGTTAAGCCTGGTAAAATATAAAAGCATCTATAAAGTTAGAGTCTTGCCACCTTTAGGTAGGGCAGATGTGATTTCTGTCATGTCTTTAGTTTAGGGCAGAACCTGTGAATCAGGTAGCAGCCTGGGAAGTGGTCAGACCAATGAGCTTTGGCCAAGTGGTCAAATCCTTGCCAGGACAACTGCAAAAGCAAGCAGTAAGCAACCTGTGGGGTGTATCCTTTCTCTTCACAACAGAAAAAGGAGCAGAGGAGAAAACCTTGCATAAGGGGCAGCAAACATTCTACTCACTGAAAAGAAAGGGAGACACTGAGTGAGAACTTCTTCTGTTGCAATTAGGGACCCACAAGCACATTTCTCATGTTGCAAACCATGAGTGCGCAAAAGCTTACTCACCTGGGGAAGCAGCCAAAGAGCTTCAGGCCAAAGAAGGCCTTAAGCCCTGACCCCAGCAAACCAGCACTCTCATCATTTTCTATGTGGCAGGGTTTTCACACTGAAGTAACATGTCTGTCTTAACACTAAAAGGGATCTAATTAGGTGTTGATTAAAACTAGACATCAGGGTAGAAACAACATGTCCTTATACTACTCTAAATGCTTCCTCAGAGTAAACCTGCTTCCATATTTCAAGATGGTAAGGTGAAAAAAATAAAGGCAAAGTAATGGTTGCCATAATTAGAAAATCATTGCTCAGGAAATGACTTATAAATTCAAATTGAAGGATGGAAATAAGCTACAAAAGCTTATTGACCATCAGTTGTTTTAAAATGACTCACCAGAGGTGGAGGTGGTGTAATACACTAAGCTATGAAAAAAAGATGAGCTCTTACCATCTAAGACAACATGGATGGAGTTAGAAGGGGGGTTTATGCTAAGTGGAAAAAAAGAGGAGGCAAAACAAATACTGAATGATGCACTCATAGGTGGAATAGGAGAATCCAAACAAAACCAAACCAAAAGTAAACACTAGAAATCTGACTGTATAATTGAGGCCACCCCAGGGCAAGGGTGGAAAGCAAAGAGGGGAGAAACCTAATGGACTGTGGGTGCCATGGTGGCGGGTGGAGAGTGGAAATTTATGTCTGAAGAAGCAGAACCAACATTACCTCAATTTAAAAACAAACAGGAAAGAACACATCAGAGGACCACTGAGTCTCACTAATCTCATTGCTTTTTTTCTTAACTTGCTAAAATGTTCTCTGTCCTATTTCAAATGTCAGAATTTCATTATCCAAATGTTATGCAAATGAATGTGTTGTAGAACAATGAACTTTATTCCATGAAAAGGACTCAAAAAAGACATTTCATTCAAGAGAATGCTGGAAGTCTCAACTCCACCTCTTTAAGAGGGAAATATACTCCGCAGACAGACTGAAGTTATTAGATTTAAAATACTCTCAATTACAAATGTATCATAACAATTAAGGCATTTTTAATTTCAAATTATGATAACATTGACCACTTAATATCCAAAGAGCTATTCAGACACATTCCAATAGATATTAAAAATACTCACATTATCTACTGATTTAAGCCTGAGCCCGATTTTTCCATCTTGGTCTTTACACAAAATGACTTCACGAATCCCTTGCTTAATTTCTGCTCTACGAATTCCAGCATCATTACCAGTCACAGGCGCCACCATATAGTTCATGCTAGAAGGTCTTGGTACCAACTGCTGTCAAAACATGCACAGTGTGTCATTATCTGGAAATATTCTCCATGAAAATAAAAATCAAAAATAACTAATTTGAATGGACTCAATTGTAGTTTCCCAGAAAATAAACTGAAATTACTTCCTTCAGATAATTTGATTTTTGCCAAAATGACTTTGGTTTTTATTTATTAATTCTTTGTGTTTATTCTTCATTTATTATTCTCAAATGCAATAATTTACTTTGTCTTCTTCTAAATTCCTAGCATGTGTTTCATGAGTACTTTGACTAGCCTTCAAATGAAATGTGTTCTTAAACTTAGAGGTTATTATCATACTTTTGAAACACATTTTTCTTGAGTGTTATTTTATATGGAATGAAATTGAGCAATCTACTTACCCTTTCAGAGTTCTTTAAAACATGTCATTGTGAGGACCGAATGAAACATATGAGTGCTGGCACTTGAAAAAATCAAAAAGTCCTCTTTGATAAATCTCTATGCCTTAACTAATCGGAAGCACAAACCAAAACCACCCTGAAATAGTTATACTAGGGATTCATGGCACATACCATGTTCAAACTCATTTTATTTTTCAAGGTTTTTTGACCAAAATTGGTTTCTTGTTTTAAGTATAACCTTTCCCTAACCAAAGAAAGTGTTAGGGAAGAATCTGCAAAGCTTCTTAATAGGAATCTGTTAAAGAAAAAGATCTGTTCTACAGTAAGAATGAAGATACTATGAGGGATCAGGAAAAAGTAACAACAATAAACAGCAAAACAAATTAACAGCAACTATAAATAAATCAAGAGGCAGTCTGCAGGGGAGGGAGAGGAATCAGAACAGGGGAGGGAAGAGCACAAGGGATTAAGGTGACAGCGCAAGGGTGCACTGGTGGTGGGAATTTCACAGGGATTACACCGACACAAGAAAGCAAACATTGTATAAAAATGAACAGTGATGTAAAATACATAAATTTTAAAATTATGATTATCAAGAGAATCAACTGTAGAAAGAGTTATGCATATACCACAGATATACATACACAAATTTGGTAGTTTAAAATTCATGGTAATTAAAGACAGCATAATCTAAAGTGGATAGTAAAACAGAACACAACACACCCCACCACAATTTTAGAAACCAGAACATAATGCCAGAAATTACTGCAGTGAATGACTAAAGTTTAAAGAAGAAATAAATACAACGATGAGACATAGGAAAACTAGGGAATGTGACAGAAAAACTTCAGAAGTAAATTGTTTTGCTTCACTAGAACAAAGGACAAAGGAGGGAAGGGTGCTTTGGAGTGGATTATACTTTTGGAAAATAAATATTTTTCCAGCAATATTTTTAAGTACTCACTACACATTCTTCTTTACTCTGACCATTATGACTAATACAACTTTATCTCTGACTCCTCCCACACCCCACAAGAATAAACTAAACCATCTCTGTCAAAGGCTACTAAAAAACCCTGTTTCTACTAGGGCCGTTCTATTATCTATTCTTCACACAACATGCTACAAATTATTCTAGAATTTTTTTGTGAAATCAATTATACCATCCCACTTCCCAGACCCCAACCCAGACTTTGTGGCCCTGGCTCCTTCTGAAATGCCACATGCGACTACTTCTGCCTTGGCTCTTAGGTCTACCAAGCTCTTCTGTCAGAAGACCTTTGAGTTTTCTGCCGATATCATATGCAATATTCTCCTACCAGATATCCACATCTCATCCCCTCTTCCGATTCAGTATTCTGCTCAAATGTCAACATTTCAGAGACCACATATGATCAGGATGTGGGAATACAGCCCTTGTACTCTATTCACTAACTTTACTCCCAACTTGGTATGTCATAAACACAGCATATTGCAGTACCTAACCATGCAAAATCCATAATGCCCAGCACATTCACAAAACAACATATGCATATCAACAAGCAGGAAAAATATAACCCCATAATTAGAAGAAAAAGCAACAAATATATTTAAAAAATAACATCTTGAAACTAGTAAGAAGATTTAATAATAGCTCAGTACACTCAAGGATTTGAAAGAAGTGAGGAGACTATAGAATAGAGAAAAACCAAATGGAGCATCTGGAGATCAAAAATACAGACGGTGTAATGAAGAATTCATTAGATGTGGAAAGCTGCGAAAATCTCCAACAACAGATTTAAACACACACACAAAAGGAAAGGTGGGGTACTAAAGAGCCCTGTAAATTGAGACATTTCAAAAATGAAGTTTTAAAAGCTACACCCTAAGTATAAAGAAGTTAAGTGGAAGAGCTAGCCAAGGACCAAGCAGTGACGTCCAACAAAGGGTCACAGTCACAGTGGCCCGGTGTCCAGCACCAAGACAGAACTAGCAGTTATGACTAGCTTCTCTGCTTCCATCTGAAAACTGTGAATACAGCAGTTCATATTTTTGTTCCTCCCTAAATTCTTTTGACTTTATACATGAGCTACTGGTGGTAACTAACTTTATACTTTTGTCTTTAAGTTAATACTCAGCTGGGAGCTACTCAGAGGGATAAATTTGTATCACAGAGTAATCAATACCACAAACCATAGACCAGACATGGCCGTGGTAACTGGTGTTATCAATCCCTTCTGGGGAGAGACTTCGGGTAACGTCACTCTATCAGAGACAACAGTCTTGATTTTGTGTTGTGAGTTAAAAATGTTTTTTATATCTCTGAAAGGTTGTAAAACAAAGAAAAGAAAAATAAGTGAAGCCTCAGTCCATAACCCCAGTGGCGGCATATATTCTACCCCACAGCTTTCCCGAATAACCCAGACAGCCTCACTGCAACTCCTCAAAAGTACCAGTACCCACTGCAGTTGCCCTTCACTAAGATCTGAAACCAGTTCATGGGTCTCTCCCCTCAATCTTTAAATTTCTGACAATTCCAATCTCTTCTGCTATTACCCCAGTTCTAGGAACTTACTTTCTATAATTAAATCAGTTTTTTTTTCAATTCTTCAGTATCTTTGCCTAATTTCTTAAGTTATTCCTCATGAAGTAGCTATATGATCTTTATTTTCCATAATTCAACTGTATGCTGAATTGTACAAGCAAGTTTGCAATAAATGTTTGACAAATAATAAATTACAGGTACTGTATTGAGCACTGGGGTTATACCATCAAGAAATGGACAATGACTCTGCAAAGTATATAAAAACTGTAAGGGCTATAAAGCACTATGATCTTAAAGCAACTAATAAAAGGTCATAAGATACACTATATTTAAGCCAAGAATTTGGGGATATAGATTTTGAATTTTAAAAGATTATGAGCAGAAAAGCTATGCTAATACACATTTCAAATGATTACTTTAGCAGCAGTTCAGTACTGTCTGAAATAAGTCACTAAAGAAAGAAAGCTACAATAATTGATTAGAAGTACAGTTATTGTGAGTAGGGTTACAGTAAAACTGAAACATGCAAAATGAATACATGGAACATGGCAGAACAGATCAGTAGGTTTTAGCAAGAGTAAATGTGAAAAACAAAAGATGGACGAGTCAAAGGAATCTGAATGTGTAATCACTAATAACTGAGAAAAGTGGTGATAGTACAAAATATATGTAAGAAAAGATATCCAGAAAGCAGTTTAAAATTTCTGAAGAGATCAACGTTAAGGTAATAAGCTTGTAAGCCACAAAAAGAAGTATCGATATGTAAAGTATGAATTTATATAATTCAAAATTAAGTACACTATACATACCCCCTGTGCTGGTGGTCCAGTTACCAAGACCATATTTGTACGTATTTCTTCTTCATTAAAACTCAGGCCCATGTATTGTGAGAGCTCTGGATACAGCTTAGGATAGAGATCTAAAATAAATGAACATCTACATTAAGGAAAAAACCCTGGTAACTCAAAATTTAAACCTCTTAATATGGTTTCTACCTATGCTTAAAACTGTACTTATTTATAAAATCTAGGGTAAATTTAAAGTGGCAATTTGGAAAGCCAGATGTGATTACATCTGTAATGTCAAAAGAAATGGGAAATACAGATATAGGTTTAATGCAAATGTTACATATACGAAGACATTTGTAACTGAAACCAACTCAGATTTCTAAATATTCACTAGTAAAATAATTTTTCCAAATAATCTTGTGTTTTCTTTTTCTTAAAATAAACCTATCTGATTAGAAATTTTGTGATACCACTGATCCTAAATTTAGAACTGACCAAAAATATCTATCAGTCAAGCCAGTTACTTAATAATTTTACTAAATAGTAAGCGTAACCATGAAATGCCTCGTGAGCTAACTACAATTAAAAAAAAAAAGTGTATAATAAATCTAGTCACCTCATTTTAAGAATGTTTACCACATTCCAATGAAATACTGGAGGCAGTGTATGTAAATATTAACAACAGTCACCTTAGTAATCAAGTTAGGTACTATTTCCAAAAGCTCTTTTTTAAATGCAATTTATTTGTATGTTAAAATGGATTTTCTAAAAATAGAAAACACTTGGAAGTAACAAGTCATAAAAAATCTACTTAGTACTCTACTTGTATCTTGTCATGTTATTCAGGAGCAGTTTTGAATCCCTATAAGCCTAGAAAGGCAAGGGGACAAAGAAAGAACACAGAGACTACATACAGTCCAGGATTTGAGATGCTCCTCTCAAAATGAGAGAGTCTGTTCAATGGCCTAGTCCCACATTCCCTGCTGTGTACTTCAGAAAGCTCACCAAAAGGACACAGATAACACACAATGTTTTTCCAAAAATTAATCACTCCTAAGTTAGGGATTTATGAGGGCTGAAATTTAATTCACTAAATTTTCATAAAGTCACAAACACAGAGTTCTTTTCTTGATTAAAGGGTTGTTTTTTGGAATAAAATCTTTTTTCTTCTTCTTACTAATATACAGCTTTAGCCACCAATTTTATGCTGTATATCAAAAAAAAAAAAAAAAGAAAAGAAAAGAAAAAATCTTGGATTTTTTTACTTTAACAGAAGGCTTGACAAATATTTCTGTTCAACAAGAATGAACTCAAAGTATAAACTTACTACCATCTTGAGAAATGTGAGCAGAAGCTTCAGACAGAATAGCTGGATTGGCAGGGTTTGCAGAAAAAGCAGTTTGAGCCTAAAAAAGAAAAGATGCACCGATGACAATGTTATATATACCTTTAGTTAAAATTCCTGTATTATTTATAAGTTCATTACTTCCAAAAGGAAACTGAAACTTTAAGAAAGTTTAATTTCAAGCAAAGTTTAATTGCAAGCAAAGTTTAATTTCAATTTATATTTTTCAAAAGAAATCTAAAACATGAAAATAATTTTCACATTCCAAAATATGTTAATACTAGCAAAAAAGCTCACTATATAACAGTCTGTGTCTTACAACCAATATTTTATAATGCTGCTATAAATAATATATAATATTTTCAAATTCACTCGTAAAAATTTAATTACCTATTATGTTACTACTATTTGATCTATTATTTTAGCATATCTCACTGAAATAGTCTTTATTTTCATTCTACCAAATATAACAAAAGATTATGCTATACCAAATACAAAATATGCAAAAATTATACTTTATCTCATATAAAAAAATCTTATATAAAATATAAAAGATGAAAAAAGATGATAAAGAGGGCCCTCCCTGGTGGCACAGCGGGTTAAAGCATAGCACTGAGATGCTAAAGCCACTTCAGCATGAGTTTGATCCCTAGCTCCCAGAGCTGACCCATATGGCACGGCAGACTTCTTCTGACCCCCCTCAGCAGTGTACTTCATCAACCTGCCTGTTCTGCTCCCCACTCTGTCTCTGGTGAATCCTCTCACTGCTCCTGCACCTCTGGCCTGTACCCCAGTTCTGTATGCATAAATAAATAAATCTTTTTAAAAAAATGATAAATGATATGATTTATAACTTAAATAAACTTGCCAACAGCACTCTGAAATATATACATGTATTAAGGCCCCTCTGTGTTCCAACATGCTAGGTAACTCTTCTCAGGCTGCCTGCACAGCCTACATCACGTAAGTATTCTACTGCTAGAAATCCTTTTTCCTTTACAGACAGAGCTGACTTTTTGAAATAGCCACGTATCTCTTAGAAAGGCGGTCAATAAGGTATATGAAACAGCACTAATTTAACTTACTACTTAATGGGCAATATTAAAGAATCAAGAAAAGTTAATAAAAGTTTGTTCTATATCTAAATCTAGTTCTGAAATCAATGGTAACAGCACTCTCAAAGATGCTTGTAGTGATGAAAACTTAAATAACTACAGCTCTCCAATGTACTGACTGGCACTTCACTCTCTTGGACTGCTAATGTTTTCTCATATACTTGTTATTGAGTCATTCTTTAAATTTTATTATTTAAAAGAAAATAAATTGCATTATTTTGTAATTTATCAGGTTATAAACTGTAATAGAATACAGCAGGAAAATCTTTATAAATTTTAACAATCCACAAACTCAAAGTATGTTGAATTTTGAATCTTCTTTCACCAGCTAGCAGCTAAAAAGAGCTAGTGGCCTGGGATTATTTCTTGGAGAATCTCAAGAAAGAAAAACATACTGTCTAGCACTAAAAAAGGTAATAACAAAAATATGACCTGGTCATAAAAAGACATGGAAGAGATTGAAAAGCACTATTACTAAGCAAAAAAAAAAAAAAAAACTGAAGAAAGTGAATGCTATATTAATTCCATGAATGCAACATTCAGGAAACGGCTTAACTATGGGAATAAAAAAAAAAAAAATAGCGGCAACCATGGTAGAGAAGGAGAAGCAGGCATTTTAGGACAATAAAAATATATAAAGCAGTAGTTGTGACTATATATGCATTTGTCAAACCCAACAGAGTGCATAACACCAAAAGTGAACCACACAATAAACTATGAACTTAAGTGACAATGCGTCAGTGTAGTTTAATCAACTATAAATAAATTTACACGCAGGTGAGGATGTTGATAATGGGAGAAGATATGAGTGTACCAGATCAGCAAAATGAAAATTTTTGTGCTTTCCATTCAATTTTGCAATGAACCTGTAGTTGCTCTAAAGAACAGAATTTATTAATTAGAAAAATTGTTCCATTTTACATTTAGTTACTATTTGGTATTTTTTCATTCATTGCTGGTATTCTTATTCCAAGGAATTTTGAAGAGCATTTATAGGAAGGTCTCTGTAAACAAGCTATACGTTATGTAATTTGTACAAAACAAGGTGGTATAATGAAGTTAAAGTCTGACCTGAGACTAGTATGTGGTGAGACCATGCTAGTCAACTCTAGGTTAAATGTGTGAGGAAATTGATAAGCACTGACTCAATACATCACTGTTTGCTTTCTAGTTTATTTTGTATTTCTATAGCAACCACTGGTTCCTATGAAGGATTCATAATGGAGAGAGAATCAAGGATTATATAATACTAAAACCCACAGCCTAAAGGACTATGTAAAGAGTTTACAAAAAGACAACTGCCAGCTCACTGCTGCAATTTAAGTTTTGTTGTGCTGTATGTAAAAAGTCAGATGATAAGAAAATTAATACCTTTGAGGTAGCACTTCAAGAACAACAACAAACAAAAATCTATGTATATGGAAAATAAGAAGGAAAATAATGAAAACACAGTCCAGGACTTTAAGTTAGGAATATTTTTATAAATCCAGTAATAAATCCAGTAATAATGTTTTCCCTGCTTTATATGGCTATAGCTGAGCAGCTATTTTTCTGTTAGGAACCTGCAGGTGTTCTAGTGGAAAGAGCCATTTAATTTGCTTCTAATACAGAACAGCCTTGTATAATTTGTAGCCCTCTTTATTTTCTAATCCAAAACTTATCAATAGTCAGTATCCATCCGTCCCTTCTTTTTTCCTGTTTTCAGAATCAAAAACCTCTGCTCAGTGTCAGCTATGGCTAATTTGGAGCTTAATTCCTTAAATAACTTGAAGGATGAAAGCAGGTTTGTTCACTCTATTAGATCCCTCTGCAAATCCTTAGCACATGGTGCTCTGATGCCCTACTAACAGCATTCATCTTTATTCTTGAATGCTAAGTATTTCAGATAAAAACTTTTTAAAAAGAAAAGTGTGCAGCTTGGATGAACTCTGTGAAAATAAAAACCGCATGAGAAAATACTGCAGAAAGAAATGATGAACCATTTAAGACGACTGAACCAAACACTTGCAAAATAGCAAAGACTTGGCAGCTGACCAGGAAGTAGATTTCAGAAACCACATTTTTATATCCACAGTGCAACTGTAATGGGAAATATATGTTCAGGATTGCTCCATACTTATCCAATCATTCCAGTCACACACATTTGTTATTACTGCCATGTTTTCTTGCACCTTAAAAAAGGCCAACATTTTGGCTAAAAAATGTCGTCAGGTATTTTTGAGGTTGCTTAAGACTTTTTACAAGTTTGTAATTAACTTCTTATGCTCACTAAATAATTAAGCAAATCTCACTTAGAGTGCACTGAGATCAAGACATCAAGTAAAATAATCTTTAGGGTAAGAACTAAACAACTCAAAAGAATTTCATCACATCATATGAAAAGACTTAAAAGCAAGTAAGTTCAACCGCGAGTTTGATTTATCTTGTCAAATGAAAAAACAAACAATATAGAAAGAGAGTCTCAGTTTATAAGAGAATGAGTTGAGATAACTGGAAACAGATGATTCAGTATACATTCCAAATTATTTCCAGTCAAAAAATAATAAAAATTTATAAAACAGCAAGATGTGGGGTTTCAATCCCTAACTTTCTTCCTAAGCAAAAACATCTATCTTCAAAACAAATTAATACTTAGAGGAAGGACTAAAAACGTTTGCCTTTTTACATTAGAAATACTATAATCTCTAACCACATCAGTGTTTAGTGTGTGAACAAGTGAAATACCTGTTGCTTATATCTAAAAGGAAATAAATTATTATGCTTTCACTGTGCTTTTCTACAACTGATCTCCTAAAAGTAGCAAGAACTTTACTATTCTGTAATAGCAAAGAATTACTTTTAAAGGCAGTTAAGACTTGAGGATACTAAAAACAATGTACTAATTTTGCACAGACCTATAAAGATACAGCAAATTGGAGTATTTTGCCAATTTAAATATGTTATATTTAAAGTTTAGTCATTCATTCAAGCTATCTTTTAAGTGGTTAAGTCCAGTTTTTAACAATATCCCACGCCTACTAATTCACAGTGGAAAGAAAATCTCTAGCTTTTCCATAAATTTTTAATTTGCAAGTAATAAAATAAAAAAGGTTTACAAAGTGTAAAAATAAAATTCATTGCTATTAGAATTTCTTGCTTCGCTTCATTTGTTAACTACAGCAGGAAGTATGTAAACAGCTTAAACATACCTGAATTACTTTGTCTACCTTCAAATCTTCAAGAGATGGGTACAGAGCCATTGTTGCAGGTTTTTCCTAAAGGAAAAAAAAAATTGGTTTCTATGATTTTCATTTCATTGGAATTTAAATAGCATGTATAGTCAGCAACAAACACATAAAATGTATAAATGTTTAGCAAAGGTAAGAAACATTTACACTGAAAAACACATGGGAAAATATGGATACTAGACTATACAAAAAAATGTTACCGTAGTCACGGTTACCGAACTACTTTCCCTCCTTTACCCCTACAAAACTAAATCCATCACAGATCTTAAACTTGCTTTCAAGTAAAAGTCCCTTTAAATCAAGTTTTGAAAATCAGACTGAATGAATATCCAGGTAAGCAGGTGCTTACTATTAGCAACTGAGGTTTTTATCCTTGTAACAGCAACAACAAAAACAAAAACAAAAAAAACAGCTTATGTGTGTTATCTACCTATAAAACCTGTATCACCACAGGAAAATGCATATACATGTACACACATATGAACCTAGAAAATATACATAAGCCAGCTTTAATAATAGTTCCAGGAAATATGAATTAAGAAGGTAAGGGGGCCCTCCCTGGTGGCGCAGCGGGTTAAAGCACAGCACTGAGAATCTAAAGCCGTTACCGCATGAGTTTGATTCCCGCCTGCCCCGGAGGTGACCACATGGCGTGGCAGACCTCTCCTGACCCGCCCGCTGCTCCCCTCAGCAGTGTACTTCGTGGATCTGCCTGTTCTGTTTCCCACTCTGTCTCTGGTGAAGCCTCTCACCGCCCCTGAGCCTCTGGCCTGTACCCCAGTTCTGTATGCACAAATAAATAAATCTTAAAAAAAAAAAAAAAGGTAAGGGGATGAAAAACAAGAGAAATTTCTATATTGTTCAATGTTTTTAATGACCATGAACTACTTTTTATAGTAATTAAAACTTAATTCTCTGAAAGAATAAGATGTTTTAAAACCCTGAAATTGTGTGTTTCAGGATTGAAAATACCTGCTACTTTCTTTAACCCAATAAACAGAAGGTATCCTAAACTAGCACAATATTTAACACAGGTTCTTGAGTTAGCTCTCAATTTATCACGTCCTTTTCCCAATCTACCCATTATTGATTACTCTGAAAAAACTGAGTTGGGCTCTTTAAACATTATTCTTTTGTCAACTGGCATGATGTCAAGTTTTGTCAGTAGAGGGAGTTGGAGGTGGAGGAGAAAGGGTTGTCTTTCAAATACCACAACACTGCTCCCCCCAGGCCTCAGCAGTACCAACTTCTAAGCATCTGCCTCCTGGGGAACAGCTTCTGATGCGCTCAGAGCATCTGCACTGCACAGCAGCCAGCAAGCCTCTAAGCAGCTTCCTAACTCTATGCCAACAGCTATGCATATGCCCACAAGCAGTTTTCCCCAGCACTCCTGTGGCTGTGCAGCCAGTGCCAAGCAAAAGCACCTCCATTTACTGGCCCTCTGGCACCACAGAGAATTTCTGTTAAGTCTCACTATCCAGTAACTGCCCCAACCACTGGACAATGGCTGCATCTGCATCTCAGACACAGGAAGGCACTCTTAGTCCTGGGATAGTGGATCCTTACTCAGTTTGTTCTTTCTCTATTTATTAAAGTTCTCTTTACTTCGTAATAGCCAACCACTTCTTTAATCATGTTATGATTAATAATTCTTTATGTTACTTTCATTGTTCAAATCTATTACATGGTTTCTCTTTTTTAAATTTTTTATTGATTTTTGTACACCTCTGGAGTGTAGGCCAGAAGTACAGAGTGAGAGGCTTCACCAGAGACAGATTAGGAAGCAGGACCTACGGGCAAGACTGGAGAGGTCTGATGTGCCATGTGGGTTAGCTCCATGGCTGTGGCTCAAACTGAGGCCAGACTTAACCGCAAGGCCATTGGGGAGGCCCTCTCTCTCTTGATTAGGTGCTAAATTAAGTGATTTTTTTTAATTAATTGATTTACTTCACATACCATAAAACTCACTCTTTATAAAGTGACTCAGCAGTTCTTAGTATATTTTTACAAAGCTGTATAAACATTCCCACCATCTAATATTAGGACGTTTTCATCATCCTAAAAAGAAATCCCACACTTACTCATTTTCCCTTCCTTCCGGTCCCAGGCAACTATGAATCTACTTTCTGTCTCCTGGTTTGCCTATTTTTGGACATTTTATAATTACAGAATATGTGTCCTTTTGTAAATGGTTTCTTTCACTTGGTGTAATGCTTTCAAGGTTTTGCCCATGTTCTATAGTATGTACCAGTTTTTCAGTGCTGAATAAAATCCCACTGCTTTGATATGCCACATTTTTATCCACTCAGCAGTTGATACTTGGGGATGCTTGTATTTTTTCACTATTATTAATAATGCTGCTAATGATGAACATTTATGTTCAAGTTTCTGTGTAAACAAACATGTTTACAATTCTCTTGACTAATGCAGAATCTCTGGGTCATTGGTAACTCCATGTTTAACTTTTCTGAGGAACTGTCAAACTGCTTTCCAAAGTGACTATGCCATTATATATTCCCACCAACATATGAGTTAAGGTTCCGTTTTCCCCATGTCCTTACTAACACTTGCTCTGCAGTTTTCATTTCAGTCATTTTATAGGTCACATCCTAACAAGTAGAAAGAAGATATGTAGCTCTCACTTGTGGTTCCTTAATGCCTAATGATGGAGAGCCCTAGCCTAAAACTGCCAATAAACATTAGACAGTAGTGGTCTGATACAGTTTTTAAGTAGAAAATAGGATCTACATTTATGAATAAAGTGAAAATTCTTGAGAAAACAATCTGTTGTGGTTTAGTTATATTAATCCAGGGAACAAATGCAGGGCCTACCTTTGTTTCAAAGAATCAGTTCACTAGCAGCCTTTCTCTTACATGCATTTATAATTTTAAACACTATCAACATCATAAACAAAACCATTTTAAACACACTGGAACAAATACTGACTGATAATCTAGTACTATTTCTAGTTTTGGTTCTGCAGTGATTATAAAATCCAAGTTCCCTCACAATAAGTTAACTGGATGAGTGGTGTAGTTTTCTTATTTTTTTTCCTCCGGAGAGAGGCGTTTCTTTAAACAAATGTTAATTCCAGGTGTCTGAACAGCTCTAAAGTCACTCATACCTACGCACTCAAGTCTGAAGGACAAATGGTCTTGTCCAAATTCTTTAAAAAATATAAAATACCACCCCAACTTAACAAAATATTTAGTTTTAGGTTTGTTCTAAGTATGCTGACTAAATAACTCTCATCATTCTTCTTAAATACAAAGGATCCCTCAGTGACTTTTCAGCAAACTTTTGTCTTGACTTCATTTCATGCAATTTGTTTTAATCATTACAATGGTTTAGTCACAAATTACTTGCTATTTCCCACCCACCCTAACTGCTTCTGTTTCTCTACTATCTTTGCAAAAACTCCATTATCTTCCTGGAATGTACTTAAGAGTTTCCCTAGCAAAATCCCTGTCAGAAAGCCTTGAGGCCTAGTTTAAGAGTCACCGCAGTGAGGACACATCTGAATAGTTCAGCCTGACATTATGTTTGTCTTAATTTGGCAGTGTCAGTCTCTCTTGTATTATAACAAGCCTATGTTTACTTATTTCTTGAGAAAAAGTCCACATTTAATTTCTTACGTAATGTCTCACTTATTTCTTATCTATTATAATGCTGTATGCTAAGAAATCAGCTTCTTAAACATTTTGAGGGGCATTATCAAAATAACAGATAAGTATAAATATTCTTAACTTGCATTCCTATAATTTTGCGTTACATTAAAAAGCATTCCAAGAGAATAATAAATGCTTGTATTATTTTTCAAAGGTTTCTGTGAACTCACTTATATATCATATTTAAGATCTCTGACCTTGATCAAGTGTAAAACATTTATTATATTTTGAAGAACCACAAAGCTATCCTTGAAAAGATTTCAATTATGGTTAGAATTTCATCATAACCACTAATAAGACTTAAGGGGATTTCAGAAAATTACTACATCTATGTGAGAATTCACACTTCACTCTCACTGAGAATCATATAAAATACTTTATTAAACCAACTAAACTACAAAATTTTGTTTCAAAGTTTTCCCTTTAGCTGAGTGATAAATAAGAAATCAGTTCCACTGTTCCTGAGATAAGTAGACAAAACACCTTGCTCTTCTATGAGTTTGATGGAAATATTCCTGGTTTGGTTCGCTGATCTAATTTCTGGAGTGAACTGGTGCTCTGCACTTACTCCTAAAGTGCAGGTCTGACCCATTCTTTGCTCTTTGCAACATCCTTGACACTTTCCATGCATTATAAAAGGAGTCTGCAATCAAAGCATCCCTATGCTTTAGACATAACCTCCAAATTAGTTTCTACCAAGAAGTTTCTCAGTGCTTAGAAACTGGTTCAGGATTTCTTTACAATGACTGAAGTTGCAAATAGCAAATAAAAAAATCCTTGACTGTTCTGTTTTGACTGAAGTTTCTAATTTGACTCCACCCCTAAAGACAATATCAGTTAACTTCTTTGGAATCTTTAAATAATGTACAAGCAAAGTATCCACAACACACATATTGTATGTAATAATTTTGGAACACCAACTTAATTTGCTTCATATCTGTGATACACTGATTAATGAAGAAGGAAACATACTAGTAAAATTGTCCTGCTAATATCACCTGAGAATGGCAATACTTACTATTTTCTGAGCTGTAGAACTCATCCCTCAACCCACCCGACAGCTCTCCCATAACAATAACGTGACTATTTAAGTTGAAAACATCTTTTTCTTTCCTTTAAATCACTATTAAAAAAAAAAACTCTTAGAATTGCAGAATCACTGATCTTAAAATAAGTACAGTACAACATATCTGATGTTTTGATTTTTGCAGTTGCCACCTAAGGGATTCACCTTAATTGTCTGGCTTTGTTGGCCATAGGATGCTTCAAGGTTCCAATAGGAACCTCTCTCTTTTAAAATCGAAGAGAGAAATATTTTTAAAATACTCCAGCACAGTATGAGAAAAGCGGACTAAGTG